CGAGTATCTGCTGTTCACTGACCTGGTTGCACTGCTGCGGCTTTGAAAGGTTTCAAAGACAGCGGCCATCGTCGAAAGCGGTTTAATCGTCCCTCGTGATCGTTCAAGGTTGTATATGTCACGAACGTGTAAACAACGTTGCTTTCAACAGGCTGACCTTTGGGGCCGCCGCTGCTACAGCTGTGCTTATTAAGGGTAAGGGTTGGATGTAATGGCAAGAATTTTCGCAACTGAACTTCTTATAGTGGCAATTAGTTTGCTTTGCAAGATTTGGAAGCAAACAGTTGGATCGACGTAGAAACCTCCCATCTTTCTATGAGGTCTTAAAGTACGGCTTTGCGACAGATCGCTGGCAGATGAACATAAAAGGGACTGACGATCAGTCGACTGGTGTGCAACAACCATGCAACAGCATTGTTTGCACGTTGCGGTTTGCATGGTCTCAATTCATTACCAATATGCTTAATCTTCCAGGACAATTTGACGGCATAATGTGGTGCAGTCAGGAGAAGAACTTCTGATTGGAGGGATTCGAAAGATCTTTGGTACACTGTAACTTCTCGACTGTCCGCTTTGAACATGACCAGTGTTGCTTGGCCAAGACCTCCTACAGCAACAAAGGCTCTGATATGAGTCTTATGCAATACGTCCATATCCATCGAACGCCTTCCATATGCTGTACATAATGTTACATGGTAGTTACTTGTCATGAAGTCAACCACTTGTGGTATTCAGTATTGCTGATGTCCTGAATGCTACTCAGCTGATTCCACTGCAGAACAGAAGTGCGAAACTCTGAGCCGCCAGGTCAGTGAGAAAGTGGACACCCCCCCCCCAAATGCGCAAATACTGTAGAAGTTAAATGGAACGAAATTACTGCTTGATGAAATTAAGCCGTGGATGCGTGAACCGCCGCTACCGAAGATTCGGTGTTCCAGATTCAAATCGAAAGATGATGGTTGTGTTAGATTTCAAGACGGATCCTTCCTTCTGACGTTTAGAGTGGTAAGCAAAGAAAAAAGACCAAGTGCGCTCGACGTACGTTCAAAGATCAAGACTTAAGATGTTTTTGCGCAGATAGAAGGATTTAGATTAATGGAGATGATTAGCAGGAGTCAGCTGCGGGATCATCCGCATCTGCAGGTCATCCGCCGTTGGGGGATGTCTTCCGACGTGTATGAGCAACCAGGGCGGCCAGCGGAACAACGACGACGACAACGACGAGGATGAGGACGATGAGGAACAGACGAGAGTTCAGCAGTGTTCTTAATTGCGGTTGTAAAATTATGCAACGATCAGGCGGTACAACGCGGGTTAACGACGGTGATGGTGATTTGACTGCGACTACTGCGGCAAAGACGATTAGTCAGTTAGTTTCGAAAGCGGCGACGGCGATTGGACGAGGCTGTCGGTGTCGGCCGCTGTTTCAAGGGAGTAACTGCAGACAGGGCAGGACTTCAAGGGATGGGCCGGCAACGACGGCGGCAAAAACACTCACCTTGCGCCTCTTTGCCTCCTCATCGCTTTAGCCCTCGTCTGAAACTCGTCATCTCTTCTCGCAGCGGCGGCGGCGGCGGCGGCGGCGGCGGCCAACGAGATTCGTCATCGCTGTGCACCGTGTGTACGTGTTTTGTTATGACAGTTGCTCGGTTAAAATCATTTAAACTTAAAAGCGCGGAAAAGAATGCCGGAACGGCCGCCGTCAGCAAAAAACTAACGACGACGGGCAAACGTCCTCACGTGTCGGTCTGACGGTCCTCAGAGTGCAGAAACGAAAAGATCGCTTCACCCATAGGTTCTTTCCAATTTACAACTGTGGGCAAAGAAAAACCACTGGTTTCTGTTCGCGGTGAAAACGCCGCGGCTGTAGCACCAGCTATTTTGACCCCTGACACAAAAAAATCTCTGCACAAGAAGGCCCACCTTCTGCGTTAAATTCGTAACTGCTACAACTGCCTTGTGCCAGGTCTTGTTCATTCGTGACATGTGTGCTTAGGATTTGAACTGACATTTGCATATGGTCAGCAGCGTCTGATCGACTGGCCTTCAGTACCTCAAAGTACGCCAGCTAATGTTTCCAAGGTTGCCTGCGAAGGATTCTTTTTCAGTCCTGGCTATTCGTCCGACTACTATAACCGCTTCCCAAAGGTGGTTACCTCTCAGAAGTACTTTGACGCCACATTGAGTACCGATCGTTCCTGCGGTCACGAAGATCCCCAAGTAAAGCTATTTCTTGCATTGGATTCAGCCATTCTGCAACGGTCGCAAACTTATGCACAACCTTTTCTTCACCTACGAGTCTCTGGTCACAACATACAGCGCTCATTTTATTTCTTCCTCAAAGACCCCGTCCCATTTGCGCCTCTCCATGAGGCGAGTTTCTTCGGTCATCGGCACAGACGGTTAATTTAGTCGTGATGGCAATGAGATCCCTGGACGGAATATTTTTTCGAACCCATTGCCCTAGAGTCCACTCCGTTGTCGGTCATGAAAGTCGGACAGTCATTCCAACTACTTGCACATTCCAGCATAACTCTCAGCTGTCGACTCAACTGCATTTGAAGCAAAATCCATATTGTGTTGACTTTCAAGACACTGATCCAACAACTTCGTTTTTTATTTATGTTCTCTGTGAGCGTTGAGGGTTTATTTTCATGTGGTCTGTCGAGCGAGCTGCTGGAAGTTGAGCAACATTCTTAGCATAAACATTAATAAACAATTACGAAAAGAAAAAGAAGAGGAGAGGAGAGGCCGTTGTCATTAGCACTGACGAATGGAGGACAACTTAGCCATGAGAGTCATCCCATCGATTGATCACAGCTCACCAGGACCGATTTTAACGCTACAGTAACGATTGCCATATGCAAACATTAAGCCGGCATTCTAGGTTCACTAGCAAACTGCTAGCTGTCGATATCGCTAATGCGAATAACGCTTTGCCATCACTATCGAAACTCATGCCGCGCATCAAATGCGATTTACCGAAGACACACACACACACGTGTATAGAAAACATTTTTGACTCGCATAACCATGAATAACAAATCGCTCGCTCACCTTCCTTGCGCATGCCCATCTTGACACATTTCTTCAGACGACAGTACTGACATTGGTTACGGTGATGTACGTCGATGTTACAGTTCTTGCTGCCGCGGCAGGTGTAGGACAAGTTTCGACGGACGGAGCGCTTAAAAAACGACTTGCAGCCTTCGCATGTGAACTGTCCATAGTGCTTTCCACTGCTCTTGTCGTTGCACACCACGCACTCGATGACCTGCGACGACGACGACAACTTGTCGTTGGCGTTATTGGCGGTGGATGAGAGG